TACTCACTCCAGAGCAACTGAAGCCAACACAGGACTTTTTATCCCATTTCCAGGATTCTCAGCATGAGTGGAATGAAGAGACATTTGAAGAGATGACAGCAGTCCTCTGCAGATACTCCCTTATGGCCTATAAGGAGGGTGAATATTTCATCCACCCTCTGGTTCATGAATGGGCCCAAGCAACAATATCAGAGAATACACTCTCCCAGAAACAAGACTTGGCTATCAATCTATTAGGCATGGCTGCAGCTGTTAGTACTGGCTATGAAACAGACCATCTCTTGGCATTACATCTCTCAAAGCTGACCAAGGTGCATGAGATGATACCATTTATATTTCAGAAGAGGATTATAGAGATATGTCTTGTGGAGGGGATGTTGAAGGAAGCCCAAGTTCTAGCAAGGGCCAGGCTGCAAATATGTATCAACCACTTGGGGCCTGATCATCCAGATACTATCTCTTCCAAGAATAGTCTAGGTATAACATACTTTGAGCTTGGGAACTGGGATGAAGCATTGAAGATTGAAGAGGAGATAGTACAGCAGCAGACTCGGATTTTAGGGCCACATCACCCTGATACTGTTGCTGTAAAGGGCAACCTGGCAGGAACTTATCACCGCCTTGGCAGATTGCAGGAAGCACTAGCGCTTGTAGAAGAGGAGGCAAAGTATCAGACATCAGCACTAGGGCCAGACAATCTCAAAACTATTGCTTCTCATGCAAACCTTGCTATTCTATATAAAAATACAGGTAAATTGCAGGAGGCATTGAGGCTGGAAGAACAGGTGCTGGAGCAATTAACTAGAATTCTAGGCACAGTGCATCCCCAGACAATATCTTGTCAGGCAAACCTTGCAACTACATACTTGAAACTGGGAAGATTCAAAGAGGCTTTGGTGTATCAAGTGCAGATTGCAGAGCAGCGTCAAAAGTCACTAGGACTAGATCATCCTCGCACCATATATGCAGTGATGAACCTTGCAGCAACATATATACGTCTAGAGAGATATGAAGAGGCTCTGAGTATTCAGGAGCCCGTGGTAACTCACCAGACTCCAGGCCTCAATCAGTCAGAGACACTGCTGTCTCAGGGAAATCTTGCACAGATATATTTTGGACTAGGCAGAGTGGATGAAGCAGTAACCTTGCAAGAATATGTCACAGAGCAGGTTAGAATTGTCCTGGGGGACAATCATGCCAGTACAATTGCTACACAAGGAGATCTAGGTGAAATGTACTCTAAGTTGGGGAGACTATTGGAAGCTGTTGGTATAGAAGAACAGGTGCTTGAGCAGCGTAAAAGAATTTTGTCTGCTTCTCATCCTGATACCATCACTGCCCAAGGCAATCTTGCTAGCACATATAAACTTCTGGGCAGAATAGAAGATGCTCTCAGGCTGGAGGAAGTAGTGGTAGAGCAACGGACCATAGCTCTGGGAGCAGATCACCCAGATACATATCTTGCATATGCTCACCTTGCAAATACTTACCAAAGATTGAATCAACTGCAAGCAGCAAAGGACCTAGGTGAAAGAGCTACTAAGGGCTTGAAAAAAGTGTTTGGAATGGATCATTTGGAGACTTTGGCTGCACAGGAAAATCTAGCACAAGTACTTAGTAGACTAGATGGTCTAAATTAATTAATTCAGTATCACCTATTATTGATTGTGGAACTCTGAAATGATTAATGAGACTCTAGCTGATGCTGACAAAATGTTCTGGAAGGGCAACCCCAGAAGACTAACTGCTTCTATAGCCTTTTACAGTGGATTAATGATTTTCTCCTATGCTCCTATCAATGGGTAAATAGTGCTGTCTAATAATGAGTGTCACATGGGAAATTCAACAACTTTTTTCCCTTTTAAATATGTATTGAATGTACACATTTAGATACATGTTTCCATAGACAAGAAATATGATATATTAAGTCTTTCATAAATAACTAACTCTTTATCATGCTTTCTGTCAGAACAAAAATGATGTCTTTAGCAGAGATAGAAAAGTTATTAGAAAGCTGACCTTTCCATATGACTTTCAATACCCTTTTTGTGCAATATAAAGGATATATTTTTATTCATTCTCATAAATAAGCTCTTTATATTCAAGTTCATTTGTTGGATAAAAGAATATATTCCTTCCATTTTAAGAAAGGTCTTCTTCATATACACCTTTGATAGCAGATGGAAAGAACATCTCTCAAGAAAAAGAGAAAAGTGTGCTTTCTGCTTGAGCATTGCATGAAGGAGGTAAGGAAATATCATCTTTCTGACTTTTTCAGAAAGATGCTCTGTGTTCTTGTATGAAAGGGGAAAGGGGAAACAAATGATGGAAATAGAAAGATATTGTTTTCATTGATATAAAAAAACATTAACATAATAAGGTGATTTTCAACAATTGGTCAATGTAATAGTAACATACATACTTGATACCAAAATAGTACAGTAATTGTGCATAGCACTAAATGATATATACAGTTATACATGAAAAGACTGTAGAGATGTCAACCAAAACTACCGTAGTATTTTACTCAATCTGAATGCCAAAAATGCTGTGACATTTGATATGGAAATTTGAATTTGTATTATTGCCTAATGGGGAAATTCTTGGTACCAGAGGCGCCCGGAAATTACGTCTTTAGGACAGAAATTCAATTCAAGCAAAATGACATGACATACCAAAGAAATTGGAATTTTATAGCCAGTGTGACGTGTGACATTTAAACTGAGTAAAATACTACAGTACTGTAGCATTTTAATCAATTTGGCGGTCACGCATCACACTGCCGTTAAAATGCTGAAATTTTTTCGGCGGTCACATGCAACAGTGACAAACGCCGAATTCACCTGGTAAACTGATCATTTTTGGCTGGCGCGGTCACGCGTCACACCGCCGTTAAAACACCGAATTTTTTTCGGCGGTCACATGCAACAACGACAAACGCCGAATTCACCTGGTAAACTGATCATTTTTGGCTGGCGCGGCCCTGGCGGGCCGCGTTGTAATGTGCCGAAAATTTTCGGCGGTCACACTCGGAGGCCTCGGACGCCGAAAATTTCAATTCGGCGCCGATGTCACACACTTTTTGGGCGCCGAATTGATTAAAATACTACAGTATACCCCTCAAATAAGTACACAAGACTCAAAATGCTTGCAATAGTAATTATAATCAAGCTCAGAAGTTTTCCTTCAATATACTTACTGTATTATCTCACTGACAAGTTTTCATGCCTCAAGACACTTTCTTCCAAAATGCCTACTTAATACTTATAAATAAATTGAATCACAGTCACACCGAGGTTTCTGCCAAAAAAATAGGCCCTGAAGTCGGATTAAGTTATGATAAATGGTGGACAGAAAAAATGTATATCTTCACAACTTGGAACAATAATAAATACAACTCCAGGAAAATAGACTTGATTTGGGGCATATATTGAGTCATCAGATTGGACTGAACTCAGAGCCAATATCAGCTGATAATTTCATGGCAATGATTTGCAACAAATAAATGCACCAAATATGTTATAAGACATAAGACTATATATATATATATAATCCAGGGCAGCACCAAAGTGTACCTAATATATCAGAAATAAGTAACAAATTGCCATTATATATGACAAATCCCCCTTATATATAACAAATTGGGGGAATAATGATGTGACACTATTCTTTGACAAATATTTGAACTTAAATAATGTGCACTTATTGTTTACAAAACATGATCTGGAATGGGGTAGTCATTATATATGTGATATTTGATGCCATGATATAGAACTTGATTTCTTCTAAATCAGATACAATTTTTGCAGCTTTTATTGCATATTAACCAAAGTGGCAAAAAAGGCCATTGTTTTAGACTATTATTTCTTATATATAAATCCTGCTGGGGACCATTTTTCAGCTGAAACCCCGGTGTGAGTGTTAACTGGTTTCCAAACATGCCTCTACATATAAACCAAGCCTAACTTAAATTCAGCAGTCATGCTAAAATATAATCCCACCCACTAAGGGATTCTGAGACATTTTGTTTAAATGCCCCAACTTGACCAAGCTTGTACCGCACATTTCAAGCCCAGCTTATATACATTTACATATCCCATATTGTATAAGTACCTATTGTTTTGCCCTGTTGTTGAGTGTGAGCATCGTGTCGTCAAAGCTTTCACTGTCCACCCTCCGTCTTCTCTATATCCCCATCAACGCTCCCCGGCCCAGCGGCGCGCGGGGGGAGCAAGTCCGGCACGCCGTTCCACCACCGCGCCGGCGTGAGCATCGCCGCAAACATCAGGACCATCAGCACGAGGCCGAGCCACGCGACCGCCAGGCGCTCTGCGCGGCAGCGCTTCGCCGCCGGGGGCGGTAGGGCGGCGTCACTGGCACTCCCGGGCCGGGGGCACGTGAGCGAGAAGACGAGCGCGGCGAGGAACATGAGGACGCCGCAAGCGCCGACGTACTGTGCGCGCCGGCGCAGGCCGGCTGTGCGCGCGGCCCTGGCTTGCTGCCCGGCGCTCCAGCGGCTGTCCGGGCCGGTGCCAGTGCAGAAGCCGCAGCAGGCTTCCTTCTCTTCGACGTGCCGGCGTGTCGTGGGGCAGAGGCGCAGGGAGGTGATTTGCACGATGACGCGCTCGTTGACGAGGGGAACTGGCGTGCGGGGTAGTGCGGGCTGCATTATGGGTGTGGCTGGATGTTGTACTACCAGAGCAGAATGTTTGTGTAAACAGTGAGTGGGGAAGGGACGATTGTGTAGGACTGATGAAGAAAGCCGCCAGGCATTATATACTAAAGTGTGTGTGTGGGTTCGCGCGCAACCAGGACAATTGGCCCTAATGCCCTTCTATTTTTACCCACCGTACGCAATAGAACACAATAAGACGAGGGACTGATGAGCTTAGTCATCCCTCTTCAATTGTCCAGATGTGGTTCATCTATTGTGCGAGGCTTATTGATCTTGTCGCAACGAGCAAACGCCCGTCTTTCTCTATTACAAGCGTACTTTCACGCTACATCCCTGCGCCGACCCTAACGACACGCGGCCCGTGCTCCACATGCGCCTCAAATCCTCTCAACAAGTCATAACTCCATACCTCGAGCACCTTTTCCTTCCCGCCCGCGGTCACATTATGGCCAAGCAGCACCTCCGTCCCAAGCGCCACGAGCTCCTCCATGCTGACAAACACTATGTCCTCCTCCGTCGCGCCAGGCGGGACACCCGCCGACCCGGGCATCGGCGCAAGCGCGGGCGGGTCCTGCGCAGGATCGGGCGACTCGTAAACGAGGGAGAGGTGGGTCAGGGGAAGTGCCCGGAGCGCAAGAAGAAAAGGCTTCATATATCGGCGGACGCCGCCGGAAATGGCGAGGCGGGTAAGGGATGGTACAGAAGTTACCAGAACTAAAAGGCGTTACTGAAGCTTCAAAAAAAAAACAGATGACGTACCCTCGACAGCTTCTTCGCCGAGCCTGAACCCCGCCAGCGCCGTCAACCCTTTCATTTCCTTCACCGTCTGCACCCAGCCGAGCCCGACATGGCTTCGTTCGCGGGCCCACATCGTGGGGCTCGCAAGTATTTTCGCATTCGGAAAGGCGGTGGGCAGACCTGGCGCGTGGAGGAGACTGTCTGTCACGCAAAGGGCAGTGACGTTCGGGAGTGCGCGGTCAGGGACGGCGAAGGCGTACGTGAAGACGGGGAAGAAAGCGAGCGGGATGTCGCCGAGCTCAAGACGGGTGAGGGAAGGGAGCGAGTGCAGGAATGTGAGGAAGGCGATGATTGGCGCGGTGGAGAAGGGCGAGACGACGTGCTCAGAGGCAGTATTTGCCATCCACGTGCGCATAGAGACGTGGACAGACCTAGAGAGGATGAGAATTACTCTGGAAGTGAAAAAGGACACGCACTTGACGGCTGGCAAAACCCGTTCGACCACTTCATCTTCATCCTCTATCGCCTCCTCCACCCGCTCAAAGTCTAGGCTCGACACATCCAGACTCTCGTAGAGCGCCCCAAACAGCGCCCCAGCCAGTCGCATGCACGTGAGCCGCAAAGCACACAGTGTCTGCGTGCGCAACTTGCGTGCTGGTGCGGTATGCTCGTAGCGCAGCATAGGGGAGAAGAACGACGCATAGCGCAGCGACTGCGGGAGGTGGTGAGTGATCTCGAGGAGAATCTCCGTTGGGAGAGTATCCAGCGACGCGGGCATGGGGGGGGAGAAGCAAGCAGGCTAGCGGGTGTGGGCGCCGTGAGGGTCGTGAGCAAAAAAGGGTCGCTCACGCCACGTGCGTCTGGCGCACGGAACCCACCCCGACACACAACCACATTCCAAAGCAGACCGGCTCTGCCAAATGGATAGACACCCAACGCTGGCTGCTCAAACGAGCACCGCGCCTTAGTAGCTGTAGCGTATGGCGGTCCGTTTGTAAAATAAATAAACCTCAATAATATGAATCAAAATCTCACCTGTAAATAAGTCAACTCCCATCTCAAGAAGTTGAGAGGCTACCTTGAAATATCTGTGGTTCATTATGAACTAAGAGTAGTTGGGGTAAGCCGTTCGTTTCAGCGAGAAGGAGTTGCACGTGACCGCACGTGACCCGGCCCGGGCCCTGACCGAGGCCGATAGTGCTCGGAACTTGGCAGACTTGCCTTTCTGGCCACATTAAGGTCAAATTAATCATTTAGAATGCATGAACTAGACATTTTCTACTGCTACCAAATGTTCAAAGGCCTCCTGGGCCTCATGGCAGCATGTTGCCCGTGCAGTGTTTTGTGAGACGTGGGAGTTATGATCTCCCTCCGAACATGCTCCTGCGTTGATGGACTCTGCACTGGGCATGACAGAGCTATAAGGCTCTCTGCCATCAAAAAGCCTAGACATAGATTTCAATATAACTTGTCAATGCTGAAAAGAGTAACCACCCACCAGCCTGCATTAGCCTCAGTGTGGATGCCAACACTCCACAGAAGGAACACAAAGTCAAAATCACCCTTTTGACACTTCTCCTTGATTAGTTGAAAGCACGGATGAAGATGATGTCCCTTGACATCGCGATCGCAGTGGACACAGCTCACAAAATTGCAGCAGTGATAACCCGTAAGACCATACTTTCCAAAGAGACCCAGTTCACACCTTTTGGTATGCTCCCTGTAACACTTTGGAGCTCCCGAATAGATGGAATGAGCAGCCTTAACCAGTAGATCGGTTGTCTAAAATAGGTTAGAAAGATTCTGATAAGAGAGAAGAATATACCAGAGCCTGGCACATAAGAGCGAGAATTTCTTGCTCCGTATTGGCACTATGGGTTGGATTTGCGTTGTAGATAGACCCAGGTGCACCACCATTTGGCTGGCTGGTACCTAAAGATGTCATAGTCCCGATATGTGACCATTGCGCTAGCGCTGCACGACAGCGAATACCATGTATTATGACGAGCCTATGGTTTTGAAGAAGGATTTGCAAAACTTGCTCTGAGAAAGTTTGGAAGCGAACACCACCAACCTGAATATTAATAGTCAGTATTGAGAATGGACAAGAAGAGATATACCAGTCGTCGTTCCTGGTTCTCATGAACATAAAACCTAATGATGTCATGGCCACACCGTTGGAGCACTTGTGGACAGGAGTCATAGAACTTGATACCAAGTTCAGCAGGTGTTACCCACTGAATATCTTTGGGTTGTTCACCTTCTGCACTCTGAGAAAATATAAGTTCTGAGTTGATACTTGCAATAAAATAGTCACCGGCTTGCGAGACCAAGGCTTCAGTCGGTTTCCCTCTGCCGCCCAAGTCACCGCATAGTCAATATATTCCTCCGCACGTTCATTCCGATAAACCTCCACCAGCCATGCACATTTCTCCTCTGGGGGTAATTCCTCGCATGCCCCACAGCCATCATCGGTATACCAGGTGGGCTGGATAGTCTTGTCATCTTTGAATACGATACTGAGTCGTTTCTCTTCTGAGTCACGGAAGGCTTGGGATGCTTTCTTCTTTTTCTTCTCGGCGTTTGTGTTTGCATGCTTGCCGTGTTTTGACTCGGAGCTGTTGATAGAAGTGGAAGCGTGTGATTGGGCTGATTTGGGGGTAAGGGGAGGAAAGAGGTGAGACTTCTCCTTCTCAACCACATTGCTCTGCCAAACGGTTTCGGAGAGTATGACTCGGAGCCTTGACTCAAGGGTGTTGAGATATTGTCGTGCACGTAAGGGCAACCCTGGAGACTCCGACGAAAGCCTAGCAGGGGAGGATCCAAAGCGTGAATAGAAGCTACAGGAAATACACGGAGGGACCGACCTAGCAGGGGAGGATCCGAAGAGAAGAAACTCTAAGGGTCCGCCTGCTAGGGCGCCAACTATATACTGGTCGTCCGTAACTGCCGACGTAGAGCGCAGAAGGCCTGAGCGGCGTCGCAAGCTCTGTCCCAAGGTGATCGTTGGGAGGGTCTTGACGGATCGGTGATTGTGCGGGCGAAGGAGGCCGTGGACGATGGTCGGGGTGGGTCGGAGCGTCCGAAGGGGGCGCCGGTCGGATGCGCCTCAGATGCGTTCGGAGGGTCCGAAGGGCTGCACCCCTTGCAGCTGGAGCAATGAGCAACATTTGGGTTATAGCCCAGAGGGGCAATGCACAACATATGGGCTATGCATATATTTTGATATATTATATTAAGGGAACATGATATGACTAATATAGGATCATATATAGGAGGGTAAATCACCTTTTCTTCAGGCCGAAGACTCGGTATGTAATATTATGGGCTTAGTGTAGCACAAAAAGAGAATCAATATTAAATCAAGTGGGAGTGATGTAAGATCACACAGGCATCAAAATCAGTGATCTCTTAGGAAAATGGTTCCACAATCAATATATTACATTAGGAACACTGATCCCATCACCATTCACCTGACATAAGACACTAAAATAGTCAAAAGAGATAAAAGTCAAATAAAGAAATACTTGCGACAGAGAAAACTGGGTTATATCCCATATGTTGTGCATTGCCCCTTTGGGCTATGACCCAGATGTTGCACATTGCACTAGGGGTTCCAGCTGCCGAAGGAGGCCGAAGCGGGGGTTCCCCTGACATCACCCCCCCCTTTGAATGTGGCGTCCCGACGCATAGTTCGAAAGGGCAAGGAGTCGAAGGTCGCTGAGGCAATGTGCCGTGGTTTACCTGGGTACCTCTGATAGAAGTCCGCAATCTTGTTTGGCGCAAAGACACGGTCGAACCGAACCCACGAGTCGCACCCCGACCATCGTCCACGGCCTCCTTCGCCCGCACAATCACCGATCCGTCAAGACCCTCCCAACGATCACCTTGGGACAGAGCTTGCGACGCCGCTCAGGCCTTCTGCGCTCTACGTCGGCAGTTACGGACGACCAGTATATAGTTGGCGCCCTAGCAGGCGGACCCTTAGAGTTTCTTCTCTTTGGATCCTCCCCTGCTAGGTCGGTCCCTCCGTGTATTTCCTGTAGCTTCTATTCACGCTTTGGATCCTCCCCTGCTAGGCCTTCGTCGGAGTCTCCAGGGTTGCCCTTACATGCACGACAATATCTCAACACCCTTGAGTCAAGGCTCCGAGTCATACTCTCCGAAACCGTTTGGCAGAGCAATGTGGTTGAGAAGGAGAAGTCTCACCTCTTTCCTCCCCTTACCCCCAAATCAGCCCAATCACACGCTTCCACTTCTATCAACAGCTCCGAGTCAAAACACGGCAAGCATGCAAACACAAACGCCGAGAAGAAAAAGAAGAAAGCATCCCAAGCCTTCCGTGACTCAGAAGAGAAACGACTCAGTATCGTATTCAAAGATGACAAGACTATCCAGCCCACCTGGTATACCGATGATGGCTGTGGGGCATGCGAGGAATTACCCCCAGAGGAGAAATGTGCATGGCTGGTGGAGGTTTATCGGAATGAACGTGCGGAGGAATATATTGACTATGCGGTGACTTGGGCGGCAGAGGGAAACCGACTGAAGCCTTGGTCTCGCAAGCCGGTGACTATTTTATTGCAAGTATCAACTCAGAACTTATATTTTCTCAGAGTGCAGAAGGTGAACAACCCAAAGATATTCAGTGGGTAACACCTGCTGAACTTGGTATCAAGTTCTATGACTCCTGTCCACAAGTGCTCCAACGGTGTGGCCATGACATCATTAGGTTTTATGTTCATGAGAACCAGGAACGACGACTGGTATATCTCTTCTTGTCCATTCTCAATACTGACTATTAATATTCAGGTTGGTGGTGTTCGCTTCCAAACTTTCTCAGAGCAAGTTTTGCAAATCCTTCTTCAAAACCATAGGCTCGTCATAATACATGGTATTCGCTGTCGTGCAGCGCTAGCGCAATGGTCACATATCGGGACTATGACATCTTTAGGTACCAGCCAGCCAAATGGTGGTGCACCTGGGTCTATCTACAACGCAAATCCAACCCATAGTGCCAATACGGAGCAAGAAATTCTCGCTCTTATGTGCCAGGCTCTGGTATATTCTTCTCTCTTATCAGAATCTTTCTAACCTATTTTAGACAACCGATCTACTGGTTAAGGCTGCTCATTCCATCTATTCGGGAGCTCCAAAGTGTTACAGGGAGCATACCAAAAGGTGTGAACTGGGTCTCTTTGGAAAGTATGGTCTTACGGGTTATCACTGCTGCAATTTTGTGAGCTGCATCAGGAAAACCCAAATGAACTGGCAGAGCTGGCACCAGGTCTGTCAGCTCTGCCAGTTCACCAGAAGTGGAGCTGGCGCCAATAACGCGTCGCGCGCCAGCCGCTGTCAGAACACCTTCTGCTGTCAGAATATCTCCTAGCGACAGACTTCTCCCAGAAAAATGGTCAGAATTGCATCAGAACTCTACTTATTGCAACAGAAATAGAATGTGAAATCAGATATATTTATTGTAATGTAGCCTACAACACTGTGCTGTCTACTCTGCGCCTCACCATTGATGGTCCCAGCAAGATTCGACTGTGTTCCCCCGCCCCTCTCCCGTCACCAGATAAACCTCAAACAGCACGACTGGACAGACAATCAGCAATACGCAGTCGAACACAAGGAAGACGTACCATGTCGAGGGCCACCAATGCGCTCGTTGAAGGCTTCGAAACTGGAACGGTGATTAAGCAATTGTGACTGTAAATATGCGGGAAACTAACCAAAGGTGTGCCACTTTGAGTGGACTTGAGTGGCGCATCCTCTCGGTGGATCTGGGTCAGTGCAGCGGCTGAATGTAGCTGCTCCAGCGCATATCGGCGGTCTGAGGTAGGCTCTGTCAGCCGCGCTCGCCGTGGGCCGTGCTGGCCGTGCAATTGTCGATTGCCGCACCCGTTGTTGGTGGTTCCGCGGGACATTCGAGCCCCAGCTGGCGCCGACGTGGCCCTCCCGCTGCTGAGGTTTTCGAAACGCACTGGCCATCGGGTCGGCGCGCAGCGGCCGGTGCTCCCGTATCCCGTACCTTCCACCAGAGCTGGGGACAACGGTGAGTGAAGGGAAAGGGTCTGGGGAAGAGACAAATGAAAGGTACATACCGTTCTCAGTTGGGGCCACTCCCCTTGCTCTGGCAGCATGACACAATCGAGCGCCCATCGTGTGTTTGGTGTGGTGAGTGCTGAGCGCGTCAGTGACGAGAGCGAGCTGGCGGTGGGGTAAGCAACAAGGCCACGCTGGCAACACAGAGGTCAAGGGCGGAGGGGTTGAGTGGTGGTGGGGAAGAAAGAAGAGGGGTGAGCGTGACATTGCAGCGTGGCAACGGAAAAATTTTCCGTTGCCACATGCCCACATCCGGACTCCGGATCAGTTTCACTGTTTCACCGGTATCACTTTGCCTTTGCCAAGTGATCCCAACTGCCAGCATGCCTTCAAGTCGGGTGACTGCCGGCCCTAAAGTTCCTACACCTACAATCTCCAAAGATGTAAGTGGACTATATCAATTGGGCTAATACTACTATAAGCATGTAATTCTACCTATTTAAATCCACCTACTTACCAGTGTATTAGACAGCTGCATCATACTGGCACCAACTGGCAATATTGACAATTCTGGAGCGCACTGGCTCCAGTTGGCACAGTTCCCCAGCTCTGCCAGTGGCTTCCAGTAACTTTGGGTTTTCCTGATGTGTGTCCACTGCGATCGCGATGTCAAGGGACATCATCTTCATCCGTGCTTTCAACTAATCAAGGAGAAGTGTCAAAAGGGTGATTTTGACTTTGTGTTCCTTCTGTGGAGTGTTGGCATCCACACTGAGGCTAATGCAGGCTGGTGGGTGGTTCCTCTTTTCAGCATTGACAAGTTATATTGAAATCTATGTCTAGGCTTTTTGATGGCAGAGAGCCTTATAGCTCTGTCATGCCCAGTGCAGAGTCCATCAACGCAGGAGCATGTTCGGAGGGAGATCATAACTCCCACGTCTCACAAAACACTGCACGGGCAACATGCTGCCATGAGGCCCAGGAGGCCTTTGAACATTTGGTAGCAGTAGAAAATGTCTAGTTCATGCATTCTAAATGATTAATTTGACCTTAATGTGGCCAGAAAGGCAAGTCTGCCAAGTTCCGAGCACTATCGGCCTCGGTCGGGGCCCGGGCCGGGTCACGTGCGGTCACGTGCAACTCCTTCTCGCTGAAACGAACGGCTTACCCCAACTACTCTTAGTTCATAATGAACCACAGATATTTCAAGGTAGCCTCTCAACTTCTTGAGATGGGAGTTGACTTATTTACAGGTGAGATTTTGATTCATATTATTGAGGTTTATTTATTTTACAAACGGACCGCCATAGTAGCGTACTTGCCCGCGGAATATAAATGTGATTCAAAAAAAAAAAAAAAAAAAAAGAAAAGCTCACGCCACGTGCAGGACACGTGCGATGTGACACTGGCAGTGATTACCGGCGGCTCAATGGGTACTTATAATATTTATTCTTTAACCAAAGCAGCAAATTTCTTCACTGACCATGTGCATACTGTCATTGCAGCGCATCCCAGCGCATCTCAGCTTAGCCAGTCGCTGAGCTGAGGCTTTAGCAATCAGGCAACATTCTGACTGTCACATCTGTCACGGCGTGTGATGGACTCCCACGCTGCTTCCTCTTTCCCGTCACTCACTCTTTTTCACCGTCGGCCCTTGGCTCTGCGTTGGTGGTCGATGTCGGCGGATAAACAACGCAGCGATCCCGGATGCTTCCTCGGCACCGGCTCATAGCGGGCTAAGCAAATCTCCCGGCGTACCTTGTCCAAGACATGATACATATTACATCGACGTCCTTGATTCTCCCAAAATGACATCTCAAGTTGCGAAGCTCTGGGTCTGCATTAAGCGTGCCTAAGATCCGCATGGTCCTCCAACCCACTGAATGCCCGTTATGCATCGCGATATCCGGCCTGTCGCTGGTTGATCTGCAGACGTGCATAGCATCGCCCAAGCCTTATACGCTCCATCTGCTATGGCAGGATTCTGCCGACCTGGACAAGTCGGTGACGTCTCCATAGACGTATATTATCCCTTCCCGCTTCGCGTTCGCGGCTGCCCAGTGGTACCTCCTCCTTTCACGTCCTGCTAGTGCCATCTCCGAGTCCCAAGTTGACTATGGCGGCCTTCAATCCTGATTCCACCTACGGTGCGTATCGCTTCATCTCAAACAGATTGCTGATGCGCCACTCGTAGGTGCACTCCTCGTCGGGGTCATTCTCTCTGCTGTCCTCTTCGGGATCAGCTGCACACAAGCGTACATGTACCATGCCCGCTTCCCCGACGGACCCCCGGCGGCTGAAGGTGCTCGTTGGTGTTGTCTGGTGGGCCGCCTTCTCGTTTCCTCCTCAAATATCTGCCGGAGGTTAACGTTTTTTATCAGGGCTTGCGAGGCAGCGCATCTCGGACTCGTATCGCACACGCTCTACACATGGCTCGTCACAGACTACGGCCACCCGGAGCGGCTGTTCGGCCGGCCGCCCGTGTCGCTGACGGGGTTCATCGTCCTCACCGTTTTCGTCTCCGTCATCGGTACCCTGTCTTACAGCCCCCGACGTTCATGCGATCTCACAAACTCCACAGTCCAGGGTTTCTTCTCCTACCGCATCCACGTGCTCTCGAAATCGCGCGTCATGGCGTATCTGACATATCTCATCACCGCCGTCCGTCTTGGCCTGGGGCTGACGATCTTCGCGCTCGCGCTGCAGGCCGACACGCTCGCCGCGTTCAGCGTCCAGTTCGACTGGCTGCTGCTGACGATGTGGAGCCTCTCACCGCCGCGGGCGACATTGTGATCACGCTCTCGCTGGTGTACCTCCTCTGGGTGCAGCGCGGGAAGGTGCATAAGGAGACGGGTGCCTTTCTGGATCGAATTATCAAGTGGACAATCGGTGCGTTTGCGATGAGATGCGTTACTTTGTCGGTGCTGATATCTGACAGAGACGGGAGTGGCTACGAGCACGTTCACTACCGTCATGCTAATCTGCGCAAGTTATCCAGCAATATTGTCGCTCTCTTGTTGACATATGACCTCCAGTTCCACACGATGCCGCATAACTGTGAGTGAGCTCAACCATTCTACCCGTTTACTACTTACTCCGCGATGCAGTCGTTTGGATGGGGCTGTTCGTCATGGAAGCGCGCATGTTCGCCAACTCTTTGTTCGCCAGGTGCGCCATAAGTCGCTTCTCTTCCCTTCCCCGTATTAATGCAACTATCTTCAACCCAGCCTCAACTCGCGCACCGTCCTGCGCGACCTGCGCCAGAACGCGTCTGGCTCGGGAGCCACTCCGACCACGCGATGTCGAACATGACCCCACCGGTGCGCTGCCTTCCTTTGCTATTTGAAGGCTTTCCGTTGATCAGGACACGTAGTACCCACCCCCGCCGTTTAACGCCCAGGGCATCACCATCGCGGTGCGGACGGACTTCGAGGTCGAGCAGGACCGGGACTCGGACCGCGGCATGGAGACGAAGGGAACTGCATGGTGAATTGAATCTCAGGTACTTAATTATGGGGCCAGGTTCGATTTGTATTCATGTATTCCGTATTTTAACTTATAAAACGAGCCGCACAACCGCTTAAAGGCTTTATACTAGTAACCAAGACCGCGCTGCGAATCCGACGGGAAGTTTGATCGATGGCCTCCAACCTGACTCGCCAGTGCACGTGGGAGCACACGTGTTTACCTCCTTGCCTCCACACTTCGATGTCCGACTCGTCTGAGGCTCCCAATGCCCCTCAGGCTGCTCCTCCCCCGCACGACCTCCGAGATCTTCAACGATCCCTCCGCCGATGTCATTCTGATTTCCTCTGATCAGGTTGAATTCCACCTCCATCGCGTTGTCCTCGGCCTTGTTTCGCCCATCTTCCGCACCATGTTCACACTTCCTCAGCCTCAGGCGCCGGATGCCCACGTCAAAGCGCTCCCCAAGGTCCGCATGAGCGAGTCGTCCGCAGTCCTCGAGCATATGCTGGCCTTGTGGTACCCTGGGGTTCCCGCCCACGACGACAATGACGCTTGCCGAGCTTGAGGTCGTGCTGGAGCTAGTCATCTTGAAGTATGACATGCAGTCCCTGATTACAATAGCCCAGGGACAGCTGCGCAACTTCTTGGCCTCCCGACGCGCTGGCGGTCTTTGCTGTGGCGATGCGGCACAGCTGGCAGGATCTGGCGAAAGAGGCGGCCAAAGAATGTCTGAAATTGCCTCTGCGAACAAGCACATATGCTCTGCCAGCCTCATGGAAGCATCTCTCCCCCCATTCACTCCACAGGCTCTTGCAATATCATATTGGCTGCCATGAGGCCTTAACAGCATTAGCCAAAACGTCTGCCTGGGACTATGATTATGTAGGGTGGCCCCAATGCACTAATTGCTCTGTCAAATGGGCCGGTTCTGGCACTACTGCACTTGGGACGAAGTCCTTCTTCAAGTCTCTGCTCAGCAAGCTGGCACAGGAATATCAATACACTCCTGGTCGCGCAGTGGAGGTAGGAAGTTTGAGCTTCCAAGAGTTGGTTCTTCGACTTTTCAATACGGAGTGTGGACCACCAACTACATGTTATCAATGTCGTTACAGATATTATCAAGCCACCATCAGTACGCTGCAGCATCAGTGGCCTCAAAGGTTGATCGATGAGTTTGAAACACTGATGGTATGATGTGTTCTATACACTGGTAATCTTGCACTGATGTTGACACTGCCAGACTATCCTAAATCTTGGGGATAAAAGCCAAACAACATAGTTCAGAACATGACGCTATATGGTTCCATACTTTGTGATATACAACAAATGTACCAAGGTTGTAGTTGGAAGTTAGTAGAATGTTCTAATGATTTTTTTTCATCAGTCATGCAACAGTCATGTTGTTAGGCAGGAGGCCCTTCCCAAAAGGGTTATTGCTGTAATTTGTATATCCAGTGCTCAAATTGCCTCATGGGGAATGTGTGACAAAACTTTATGTCACACCTTCAAGAAGAGGAATAAGATAGTACAGTACTTACTCTATAGTGTTGGTGGACTCAGGATTTAGTACCTTATAATTCTACTGATATATATTTGAATAAACAGCTCAATAGGCTGCAGTGACATTCTAATACTGTCAGGGGAACCTACCTTTCCAACCCTCAGAGAGAAGCCATACTCCCACTCAATCTATTAGGTGCATCATCACTGCTGACCTGATATCACTAGTTAAGTGCAGGCCTCAGGTACAGTAGCCTGTGATCCCGCAGGTAGTAATGTCTAGGGCTGGGCTATCTAGAGATGGCGAGGTTCAGTTCGGTTCAGGTTCGGCCCATTTTTTTGGCGAACGCTGAACCTGCACTTCGGTTCAGGTTCGGCCTTTGGCTGAACTCCGAACTGAACCTCGCGTTCAGGTTCAGTGCGGTTCGGTTCGCGTTCAGAACGAACCTGGGGGCAATAAAAGAAAATGATTATGTCTCTAAGTTTCATATATTGTTTTGCAGTAACAGTGGATGGTACATACCGTCTACCTCCATTCCTTGCAAAACAAGGACTTAAAGGCTTGCCGCGGCCCCGGCTGCTACTTGGTAAGGCCCCGGCCTGGTCCGGGGAGTCTTGGCACAGGCATCATTCGCCCTCGCGACATGCGGCACCGGCATTATGGGCGGTGACAGTGCAATGACAGTGCGAATGTCAAGACATCATGTCATATCGCGTGCCGGCTGCATCCAAATTGCGTCAATATGGGATTGGCACGCCCGGCCCGGTGCCTCCGGCGTTCGGTGTTCGAACATGTTCGGACCCGGTTCAGATAAAGCCAACACCGGCCGAACACCGAACTGAACCTCAGGTTCAGGTTCAGCCTTGGGCTGAACTTTGGACCTGAACGGGCATTCGGTTCGGTTCGGTTCAGGTTCGAACCGGAAGGCCGAACCGGACGCCGCCATCGCTAGGGCTATCCTGCGAAGCCCTGTTTAGGGCCGGGCTTTCCAGGGCTTGGGCTTGGGAGGAAGTCGAGCCCCGGCCCTCGGCTAAAGTGGGGCTTTGAGGGCTTGGGACCTGAAGCCCTCCGAGGGCTTCGGCAACCCCAAGCCTGAGCCCTAGGCCCTGACAAGCCCCACCCCAGGGCCGGGCTTCTGGGGGCTGGGCCGGGCTGGGCTTCAGGGCTTGGGCCCGGCCCTAGTCATAGTAGTCAACACTACCCGCAGGCCTGTAACCCTTTGAGCTCTTCAATAAACCACCACACTGCTGTCAGGGGAACCTCCCCTTTGGCTGCCGATTCCAATCCCGATTCCAGTCCGACTCCGGTGATCTTATTACCGCCTCTATCAGGCGCATCGTCACCCTGCCCTGGAGATCCCCTGGGACCTAGCCTGCAATATGGCATAGGCATACTGCTTAGAGCAATAATCACACTTCACATGTCAAGAGCATAGTATATAATTCCGCTCCCTAGCAGGTGGACCCTTAGAGTTTCTTTTCTTTTAATCCTCCCCTGCCAGGACCTTGATCTCAGGACTCTGGGGTTGCCCTTACAGGTTCTTTATAGTCTTGTCAGTGTCAATGATGAATTATTATGACATTGATGCCTCCCTTTACAGAGAGAAGCAGGACTATAGATAATGGATATAAGAGTTTAAAAACTCCATTTGTCAAAGAGAAACTACAGAGGTAAACTGTAAGGTTGAAGGACCATTGCCTGACAACCGCTGGGGATTCTAGCCATCATCTGTCCTATCCACATCAATCACATGCCTTGTTGCACGCCAAGCTGCCAAACACTATGTTGAATATTACTCTTATATTAAGCAGATGTTGTGTGAATGTATGCACATGTTTGGCATCAGCTTTAGCAATTCATTTACTCCACATTTCCGAGATCGACAGTCTTACTATCAACTCTCCACATTCTTTCTGGAGACTGCTAGCTTGAGCTAGAACAGCTCTAGCTAGGTTGTGGAGAAACCTCTAGCTACATTCATGAGGCAGCAGCAGTAGCATTGTCAAGCTAGCTAGGGCTGTATTAAGTAGACTGCTGTAGACATCACCTATAGCTGTATTCTTCAAAGCAGCCCAGTCATTTCTTCTTAATCAACTGGGGCTGGCCCTTCAAGGCAACTCCAGCTGCCCACTCAGACAGCCTGTAGCTGGTTTCCCAGTTAACCTATGGTCCTACTACTTAAGGCAACCCCAGTTGTTTGTCACAGACCACCAGAGCTGTTCAAGTCAAGACAGCTTAAGGTGTTTGCTTAAGGTATACGGGGCTGCTCTGGCAACACAGCTGGGGCTGTCATCAGAATACAGCTGATGCTGATCTCACATCTGTGACTAGGGCTTTGTTCTAAGAAGGCCTGATGATGCCTTCACGGTCAGGCATTGGTGTGACGTTAGGTTTGTGGGCGCGTTTCTCTGTTTTCTGTATCAACAATACAGTGGAGGAGAGCATCCCTTCTGTGGGCTTTCTCTGCTTTAAGTGCCAGATTGGGACTATTCTTCCTTCTAATAAGATAAGGAAGGAACTCCTCTGTGGTTGGTCTTAATGGCCAGTACTTTTCCAAGGGAAGTCGCTTACCTATCTGTTTCCCAAACCTCACCTCCTCTACAGTGCTCTTTATGTTGGCCTGCTAAAGGGCGCCTACCCAAAGGCATTCCCTAACGAGGCGCGTTCTCGCAGATGTGCTGTTTATTTTCTTCTTGGAGCTGACTCGGAAACAAATGCGCAGGCAAGTGATATCTCTTCCTTTATTTGCTGAGAGCTAAAAATTCTTCCTAGCCTCCTAGGGAGGTCCACTGTCTTGAAACGGCATTCTGCAGTGGGCAGGGGCTCCGTAGTGACGCATGCTCTCACTTTATCTGTTGAGAGTGCTGTCTCAATCTTAAGACATGCCATCCTGAGCAAGGCTGCATTTTTGCAGATCATTGGCGTACGAATTTTATCCGCGTTGTGGCCAGTACTAATGCCTGCTTCTCAGCTGTACAAAATTTAAACTCACCATCAAGCATGTCCACCATATCCATGTGTCCACACCCTCTGTGGCTTCCACGTCACCCATCCAGTCAGCACAAACTACACCTACACCCGCGTCACGCTATAGGCGCTTGTACGGTAATAACCTCTCCAACAACCTTCTTCAAAACAGTTTTCCCCCATCGTTTGCTTAAAATATAAGAAGTGCCTCTCTGACAAAGGCATGAGACGCGTCAACGTAAAGTTCCTGGTCGCACCTTTTGATCCCCGTGACAGGTGCGCCGACAGCAGGAGCACTATGGGAGATGCTCAGTTCTAGTTGAAGACTCTACCCTTAACCTACCTGATTAAAAATGGCAGGTAGGTTAAGGGTAGAGTCTTCAACTAGAACTGAGCATCTCCCATAGTGCTCCTGCTGTCGGCGCACCTGTCTATACTCGTCCGCCACGCGCGGATCCACACGCTTGCCGTATAAAACATCACGAGAGTGCACGTTCGGGCGTGCCCGATGGGCGTGGGCCTGCGCCAACGGGCGTGGATGGGCGTGGGCGTGGGATTTGGCTGACCATCAAAGCCCACGCCCGCCCATCAGGCGTGCCACGCCCATTGGTCGGCTTGGCACGCCCGTTTGTCGGCTTGGCACGCCCGACAAATGGGCGTGGGCTTCCCAATATTCCAAGTCCTCCCGACATTACAAGGCGTGGCCGGTCAATCGTTGACCGCCGACCACCAACACTTGGCCCGCGCAGCCACCAGAGTGACTATGACTGGCGGGTGGCCGAGTCCACATCGCCGGCCACGCCCGGCCGGTCCGCCACACACCTTCAGTCCGGTCAGTGCGCCGAATCGTGTCCGGCACGGTGTACTGTTGAGCCACAGCCCATTTCAGGCTGTCTTGAAGCTATTCAGCTCCAAGATGGGGCGGCGCAGTGCCAAAATTGCTGCGACTCCGATATGGACCTCAGTCGAACTTCGGCAGCATACGAGTCTATACCAGATTAGGCCCGCATGCCTGTTTAGGAAATACTGCACATAGCGTGAAAATCCTGCACTCACCACAAAATCCGGCACGTCCGAGTTAGGAAGCAGAAAACTCG